TCTCGGTCACGATCATCCTGTTATGATAGAGAAAGGTTTCATTGTTTTTTCTTTGGCAAACAAATTATTTGCTTGATTCTAAGCGTTAATAAATGACTAATGATTGTTCAAATGGCTTCAAAATAACAATACAATTTTTCAAGCGATCTGTGACAACTTAGTTAGTAAAGAAAATTATTCTGACAAATTTCCATACGTCTCTCTTCAATACTTTGATCAACGCGTTCGTATTCGTCGCGTGACAGAAGGACCGGTTTGATTGACACAGGATTTCCATTCGATGATCAGACAAGGACAGTGGCACTTGTATATCGCGCGTCGTGTTTTATAACAATGGGTCGGATCATGCGTAGGGGTGAATGTTCGTACCTTCTTACGAGCACTTTGAAAGAACTCTGCCGTTTCGTGCTCCCGCTGCGGTCCATGAGCCGCACAATAGGGGACAATGACATGCATTCTCATAAACTCCGGCGACAAGACTACGGGATACCCTAGACCGTTTCTCGTTCCAAGAACGCGGAAGAATACAGCTTTTTCGAGTAGAATTTAACTATTTTCTTGACAGCAGCATAAATCGCGATTCTGTTGTCTGCTTAAAACAGCAAACAATCTTTGCGCGCGATGTTGTAATCCCGTAACATCGTTTGATAAAAGATTTATTGAATTTCATATAGGAAAGAAACATAGAAAAACTGTAATTTATGTTACTGATTCTCTCACGAGATTCAACGAATTACCTCAAACCGCAAAGAAAATGCGAACTGAAGGCAACCCTCAATTTCAAACAATTCTCTCAATCTACTTGAAATTACATACAATTCAAAAGCTTGTTCATTTTAGAGGGCTTTAATTATACGCCATAAAACAGGAACTCTGCAAGAAGTCAGGACGGTGGTCCACATTCCAGGTTGCACCTCGGTTTTATTGCCACGTAGTTGCCCTCCTCTTTTGTTGTGTCCATCGAGCGGCGAAAAAGAGCAGAACGCATTGCCGGGGACAAGAAAGTCCCGTCGCCCTGCTGTTGCCCGAACGACCAGTCGTTCTCGAATATATATCATCGTGGCCAAGTCGACTCGGATCATCCTGCCTTCTGTTAATTCTCTATGTATGTATTCAATTATATTTGAATAATTGGCCACCCGACGACTCGCGGATTAAGAGAACGAACGTTTTATGCGTTCTGATGTTCCTGGCCGCGTACGTCAAGTAAATTGAATGCATACAGGCCTTAAGGAGAGACGGCATATGGGGAATGCGTGGTTTCGTGTGGTTTATGTTAAACGCCGTCTTTGATCGAGTTTCGTATCGCGTAATTGATAGTTAGCTTTTGATGCTCTTAACGAGATTCATTTATTCAGCACCGTACCGAAATGTATGTAGAATGCTCGGTATAATTATAATGTGAAATGGCAATCGATCATTCGACAGGCTCACAAGTTTTTATACGGTACAGTGTACTATTAGTCTAATGAATATGAATATAATCAGTTGCACACGTTTTTTTGCAAATTCGTAATGTAACAGATGTGCTAGATCGTTACGTCAGTTTCTTCTCATCTTCTAACCTAGTGTCATACACGAAGTATCCGTATATAGATCAAACGACGACCGACTGAATACTTTTTCACGTCTCTCGTAATATTCGATACACACATCAGAACGATGTGTGTATCTAATATTTTTAACTCACTTCCGGGAAGCCAACGCGTTTTATTGCACCCTGCCGAATATCTCGTAGGCGGCCCTAGAATGTCAATAGTCATAATATCAATATCTCTTCGTGGCGGGTGGTAGGCGCGGGTAGCTCATAAGCCCCGACAAGCAAATCTCGTGAGAGCACCTGCTGGGTCGACACTCCGCGAAGCTCGAGAGGATAGAAGCCTCTTCTCCTTCGTTCAACGATGACGTGACTCCACGGGGTTAGATCGTTTCTCTTTATAATCTTCCCGCCTTTCGCGCTGCTCGCGGCAAATTGTGCTCTCGCCTTTATTCACGGGAGAAAAAACACTTACCGCCAGCTGGTACCCGCGACGCCCTCGCCGAGCGGAAATAAACCAACCCGAATCCCGTGGATTCGAGAAACTTGAATCAATAAAGCGTGAACTGCTCCTTAGCTCGATTCTTATTCCTTCACCCGTATATTATTGTAGATAGATCCAAGAGAAATTGTTCAGGCAATCACCCCGTTAACCTTTGTTAGATTTTTAGTTCATTTAATAAAGTGCAGAGAACTATGTTAAAGGGAATTGCGCGAATGAAATTTGTAGCATTTTTTATGGGCAATATACCGGCCTTCGTTCTTTTTAGTAGAATAACCTCGACGGTTTTATGTCGTAGTAAAGAGACCAACGGGTCAGGTAAAGTGAAACACGATAATCGCAATGTCAATTAACTGTCTTAGGTATGATCGAATTGAATTCTGTTCGACATCCAGGGTAATTAATAAATAATTTTGTTGTCAGTTATTAATACACGTTTTATAAGATGAATCGTGTAAAGGTGAACAGGATGATTAACAGCCTGTCCGCTCTGTATTCTTCGCTTGAGCACTCTTATTGACGTAGTGAGTTCGTTCTAGGATGACATAGCGATCTTCGCACTCGTCGATCCACTCCAGCGTGGAAAAGTGCATGCATCCTCATAAGCTGCGACAAGCAAATCTCGACGTAGCGTAGGTATTCGTCGAGACGGGCTCGTCGCCACTTCTACGTGCCCGGGATATGCGGTCGTCTTCGCGAGGAAGAAGAACCCTTCTCGCGGTTGTATCCCATTCCCTGATCATGATATTTCGTCGGCGTGACACGTGTAATCCGAACGACGATTTATTTATACATACATACATGGTTCGTTCTGTGGCTGATGCGACGCTCGGTTTCTCTCGTCGGACGTCTGTCAGTCCATGAATAAAAACGAGATAGGTAAGCACACGCTTGGACGTGGATCAGGAAATAGACTACTTTCCTCGGTGAAATGCTCATATCGTTGGAACATCGTTTTTTAGTGATTGGAAGATTGGATAGGAGATACGTGCTAACATCGAAAAGATTTGAGATACGATTTTTATAACACTCGTCTCATTATTCGTAAATTGAAAATTATCATATTATGTGTTAATTCAATTACTCCAACGTTCTTCGAAATTCCAGAACAATTGTTACAAATATATCTGATTGAATAATACGCAGACCTCGAGTTATTATAATTTGTGTATATTAAAATAAACATGGGACTGTTTATTCATGGTACATCGCAACGTTCAATAACAGAATTGGAATTATCGTTAAAAAAGAAAACACGGTTTATTGTTTCAGCCATTCATAATTTTTTATCCCCACGCACCGGCAAGCTTGTTACTGTTTACTTCGCCGCGACACATTCGGTGTCGCTGAATTATTTCATATCCCGTGTTATTAAAAATATTCGCGAACACCTGCTGTCACGGCGGTAGCGTGGAATTCTCGATTCCACGGTTTGCCAAGGATGTTTTAGAGAAACAGTTCGCCAAGGATTCATGCTTTGTTTCACGCTGCAGCGCGCAGCGGTCGAGGGATTAATGAAAACGCGTTCCAATGAAATAAAACAATCCCTTGCTTAATTCATTCTCTCGTCAACGCGTCAACTAATTTCCTTCTGACGTTATTTCATTTGCCTCTACCGTTTCGTTAGCTCGTGCATAATTTTTAGTATCAGGTATTAAAATGCAAAATGGCGCGTTGCATTTTCTTCAGGCCGTTTATGGCGTACATAATAGAAAGTTCTGACCAGTCATCGACGTTTGATCCGGGGTAAATTGAATTTTGTCGCCGACGGTACGCGAAATAGGTGCGAATTTCCGCGCAGTAAATAAATTTGCACGGTTCTGACATGCTCGTCCGGCCGAATAATTTTTCGCGGAGAATTTTATTGTTACGGGAATACAATTGACGCGTCGCTACTCCCGTTTGGTCGCATTATCACCGGCATTTCGGCTCTCGCGGTGCCGCGCGATGAAATAAAACATTTCGTGAAATAACGAGGCCACTGATGCGTCTACAAAAAAAAAAACAAATACGTGAGCGCACACGTACGTAGCGTCGGAGAGAGGCGTAGGTGTTCACGTTTCCGTCGGGATACCGTCGCGAGCGAACGTCGGGTGTAAATTGAACACATGTTCTGCATTAGCCGTGCCATTTTCGGGATATACAGTTTCGCGAAAAACCTACATTTTCGAACACCTCGATACATTACCGCACGCCCGAATCCCCGTGCTGGATTATTCGAAATCGGTGAAACGTCGATCGCTCGCGGACTCGTTGTTATCCAAACTGAACCATCACCGATGTGTGACGAAACTGTAAAAGGGAAAAGGGAAACGATATTAACGATGACTACCGTAGATACGAAAAAGCAGGTGTTACTGAATAGTACAGGTACTCATTACGTTCATTAACGCGTGGCGATAGTTAAATGTGTTCTTCGCTGAATATAAGTAACAATCAGAAGTCATCGAAAATTATGTTAATGCTCGAATAATTATTGGTATTGAGTGGTCTACAATTAATTTCACTGAATTTCCAGTCAGTACTATGAATACATTTTGTAATGTGATCAATCATATTTTGTATCGACGTTCGCATTATGTTGCCTTTTGATAAATTGAAAAGTCATTGAAGCTTCTATCAGTTAAGCAATTAGTTTTAGAATGATTTCACGGTAATTCATACAATCCCGGCACGTTCCATTTCATCATCCGGTCACGCAGATGAATCTGCCGATTCCCTGACGAGTTCATACAAACGTAGTAGCCTGAGGCCGCGTGAATGAAGACCTCGTATACCCTGAAGGCGTTCGAGGTGGCCCCGGTGGCCCCGGGCCCAATCGGTCTTTCAAACAGCCGCATCTTCTGCGTCCTCGTTCGTGTCCGTTCGGTCCATTCCGGTGTTTTCCGGGCGCGCTCCGTGCGGGGAGTCGGCGCGCGCCTCGTGTCCCACGGAACGCGTCTCCCAGTGATTACCGTGCAGTCCTTGCGACACGACCTCTGGATTCCCGTGCCCGCTACGCCGACGTGACGGGGGTAGTCGCGCGCGCGCCACACGAACATAGCGAATTGCAGTAGCAAATATCGTTGCGTGATAACCGCGCCGTTATCACCGGTCGTCCTTCGAACGTGCGGAGAACAGATCGGAGTGCAGTGGCCAAGGTGACATCGGAAATTTTCGACAGTTTTCGCGAGCAAAACTTCTGCGCGTTTGTAAAAGCACTCGGTCGAACTTTGTTTTCATTCTCGCGGACGGAGAAACGTAAAATCGGCTGGCACTCGTGACAAATCGCCGCGTTAAATCGCAGATCCGCGGCGTAATACCGCTAATATCGCGCTGTCTTGGAGGATAATGGATCGGTCGCGTGGCGAGGGGCAATGGACAATCGGGTCGGTGGCTTGACGGATCGTGCGTGTCGCAGTTCGAGCTTCGGATCGGAACTATGCGGTGGTGGTATCCGCGCGAGTCAATCGTCAAGCGAGATCATCGATCGCCCGGACTTTTCAACAAGTTGTAACGCGACGTCGATTCGCGACGCTGGTTAACCCTGTCTAACCCCTCTTCGATCATTGTGCTAACTGTGCGCGCGCGAGTGTCCGGAAGAGTCGCGGAAAGGGGTGAAGGATCCCCTCGAAACGCGGAGGTCTTATAAACGAGTTCGGAGTGAATTGTTTTGTGACCAGTTCGCCGGTGACTTTCGACGTGAGAACTCGGTTGATCGTTGACTTCCGATACTTCGTACGATAGCTTCGACGATTTCTCGAAGAATAAGTTAGTGGCAGCCTCCGTGCCCGATGGGAATTATGTAACGCGATTTGGCGACCGTCATAGTCGTCCGACTCTTCGTGGCAGTCCCTGGGAACCGATCGACTTTCCAGGAGAACAGGTAAGCGTGCAGTTCGCGTCTCGAGAGAGTTTAGCGAACGGTAGACTAAGGTGAAGAGATCGGGAGTGTCGAGTATTCTTCGATATCAGGTGCTCAGGGGACGTCGAGTGTATTCTTTTGGTTGGAATTTTGATGTCTGCCTCCTGGATTGGTTTACCTTGCGAAGTTTACTCGGCAAGTCAGAATTGATTAGGGTTTGTGGCTGCTGAATGCGTTAACCACTCTGACATGATTTCTTGATTGATTCTGATTACTGTGGATGTAAACAGAATTGCAATATCCTATTTAATTATTCACGATTTCCGAAATGGAAATTACAAATAATTGTTAACTTACTGCACGTTTATGACTCATAACTCTTTGAATTAATTTCTAATTACTGAGTGACATTATTGAGAAATTTCATTCAGTTAATTGCATCAATCTATTACTTTCTTCCAAAGGAATATAAATAGTTCCGATTAGGAATTAATACTTGGTAGGAGATACTGTTGCGTAATATCGAAGACAGTGTCTAGTTATTTATCGCGTTATTATACATGGAGCACTAGAACTATGTGCAAAATTTCAGCCAAATTACTGAATACGCTCGAACATAGCGCAGCGTATCTCGTTAGAGAACCGACCTCACTAAGAACCCCCGGTGTGCTCTTGGCATCTGCGGTTCGGTATCCACTTAAAACTTTCGATCTCCGAGCAAATAACCACGGTAGTTGACATCAGTTAATATAGGGGATCACGCGTGTACAGTTGGTTCATAAAGGAGCAGTGTCAATAACAGAGATTCAAGGTTGCCGGAAAATAAGAATGTAATCTTTGATCGAATTATCTTACTTAATGAATTCTTGTGTTTTTTAAATTTTTTAATGTTATTATACAACAAAGGATAAATGATACTTCATCATATATAATTGAGTCAATGATCCTGAATGAATTTACATAGGCGAAAGGGAATGAAATATAAATGCGGTTGAAGTATACAAATAATACAGGATTTTAAGGTTCTTGGATATCTTTGCGAAGAATCAAACCGTGTGGAGGAAATGAATTATAGATAGACAGAGACGCGAATCGAGCAGGGAGGGTGGGTTTGCAGAAAGTTCGGGAACAAGCTCTGGGAGAACTTTAATTACGGAATTATTCGGGGGCCAGTGGAAACATCTGGCTGGAACGGACTTTCGTCGATCACGGGGCGATGTTAATGGGGTAAGACCCGGTTGCCGGGCTCGTTTACACAATAAGATGTCGATCAGTCGGAAACAATCAACGCGAATGATAACAGCTAGCGAGGAACGTTGCTCTGTTCGGTGGAGGCGGGCGATGGCAGTCGAGGTGGTGCCGGAGAAGGCGACGAATTGAATAAGGAAGAGAATGGCTGTAATTCACGTCGGTCTTTCTGACGTCTCTTCCGTTCCTACGTCGCGCTTATTCATTTTTACAGCAGTTGCGTCTGATGCAGCGCAAAAGATGTTCACGACCCAGTTTTAAAAGAGTCGACGGGCGGACGATGTAATTATGATTTAGCGTGGTCGCACTAGTTTTTTCTCGTCCTTCCTCTCGTCCCCGTGGCCGTTTCGCCGCTTGTTCCCTCTCGGTCGTAAGAATAGAGATGTCTTTCCGAGTGTGCCAGGGAAACTCGCGACAGAGCCTGCGATTACTGTCGTCGTATCCAGTCCATGTGAACCCTTGTTGCACGCTTTTTTCGTCATTGTTGGAGAATTATTTGACGTCCCGGAAAGATTTCTTTCGTTCAACAGGATTTGTTCACGTTTTTCTGAAGGTAATTACTGTTCATTCTTGGGCTTGAACAGCAAGCATTCTGTTACGCTGTATTTTCTTTCCAAACGTGTCCTGTATTCCAGTTCTTAATCATGTTTGCGTAGCCTAATAGCAATTAGGCGTTGAAATTTCGTATCTCAGCGAATTTCTAAAATAATTGGATTCCTGTAACAAGGTATTTGGCAAGTACACCCGAAACCATAGAAAATGGAGAACTGTCTTAGGTTTCTGATGCTCGTGCGAGACATTTGAGGGTTGCATTTCTCCTCGCCGTGATTAATTTCTGCCAATTAATTCTTTACAAGATTACATTTGATTACAATCGATTAGTCGCTGTACTTAACGAACATTCTGTTCGAACGTAGAATGAAATCAGAGAGAATACGCAGGGAATTTTTAAACCGTATAAAGTACGATTTCCGAGCTCGTCAGAATTGGAATGAAATAATTTTCTAGGAAATTCATGTTTTAATTCATGTATTAATATCCCGACTGATCCGGACGGTGTAAGACAAGCGGACGTCAAATTCGTGCCGCAGTTTCCGATAATGCAACAGTACCAAATCATTTGATATATTTATCAGTGCCACTGCGCATTCGGCTAATTGGAGCGCTTTTAAACACGGAAAATCGAATTAATAAATGAACACCGCGTCGTTCGTTGAACGCGTTCGATAACCGATGAGCCTCACGGTTAATAAAACGGAGACTCAGTGTTATTTCACCGGGTTGTTGGCACGCAGAACAGTGGCCTGTTCCATACAAAGGAACCGGCGCGCGGGTAATTCCCTAAATTGGCTGCCTCTGTTCGCGTTCAATGGGCACTGCTTTTCGGAAAGGGCGCGTTTACTCGCGAAGACGGCTCGCTAAATTGAACCTCCCCTCTTAGGATAGGTATCGCGATACCGGGAACCGTTACCGTTACCACTGTGAGAGGCAAATTAGATACTTGTCACTCGTTAACCGGTAATCTTCTTAAAAAGAGGCCCGAGAAAACAATTTTGCTCGTCCGCAGTCGCAAATAAGAAGGTTCCTTTCGAAGGACACTGCCAGTTCTACCTGCGTAGAAAGAGTCGATTGCGAACCCTGTGATCTTCGTTTCAGTTCCGCTCCTAGCCAATTTTTATCCCACGAATATCTTGACGCCTTTAATTAAAACGTGCTCTTCAGATTTTGTCAAATTTTCACTTACATTTTGTTCTCGTATAAAAAATTCGTTCACAATTTCACTCGTCAAACGACTGCTTTTAAAGGAGAAATATATGAATTTTTATTCAAGTTAATTTAGTTCGGAACAAAAGATACAATTATGAACGAATCGATTAAACAGAACCGTTCAGAACGCTTATTAGTTATATTTCTATTTGAAAAGAAGTTCCCAAACGTACAAAGCACATTATATAAACGCGTTATTGTTCGTACGATAAATTGCATTCGATAGATGGAAATACATCCGTGACGTTCATTTATCTTCGTTTTAATATTCAATGAAGGGGTCGACGAATCTGAGGCACGTCCTGCGTGTGCTGTTAGCTTGCCAAGGCTCGCGTGAGACGTCGACGTCGACTGCTCGATACGACGACGTCGACGACGACGGGCTGGCCCGAATTCGTGAATGAAGATCGTCGTTGAAACGCGCATTAAAATTCCAAGAATATTCATAAAGCGCGCGAGCGGTAGCGTTACGCGTCACAAAAGGCGGAAAACCGAGCTCCCGGGCTTTTCCTGTAGCCTGAAAGACTGACGTTGCATTTGGCGATGGGGAAGAGTGCATATCTGGCGCAATCGAATTCTCCTGGCCCGTCGTCGTAGGATTCGCCTATTGTCAACCCACCGTCCCGACCATCCTCGACCCTCTTATTGCGACGCCACGTTTATGGGCCGGGCCGGAGAGATCGGTGAAGAGAGGATCGTTAGGGTTCAATCTCAACCCCTCGAGCTGACCGACCTGTCCTCCCCGAATAGTTGCACGCGCGTCGGTGCATTTACATGGAAATCTCGAATCCCCGGCCAGGCCATCTCTGCTCGATTACATTCTGTGCATTATACCGTTCTGACCTCTCTTAAGAATCTGCGGAATTTTCTTATGCCACTGTGACTTCGCGGACTTTTCACTTTTCCTATCAATGACTCGGCTTGTTCTCGGGAAAATGACGATCGGACTTCTCGGATATTTTACATACTCGCGTTGATAACTTATACAACTTCTGCTTTGAAAGCCAAGGATTTCCAGATCGACGGAGTCAGGAATAGAAAGACGAAAACAGAGAAATCGTATTCTCAAAGCACCGGTACTCGACGAAACAATTCTCATGCAACCGGGGAAAAAGCTGTGTTTACATTCCTTAAATTTCAATATCTCAAAAGTAACCCAGAGGAAGCAACCCTTGACACCATTCCTGGGATCGTCAGATGCTATCGCGTTAAGCTTCCCTAAGCCGAATTTCCCTGCCAGCCGCGTGCACCCTCGAAAAGGTATCCATTGATCGCGGAAAAAATTCCAGTCAGCCACGCGACCGTTTTTTCGAAAAGCCCACCCGACGCGAAAAAAAAAGAACCAGGCCGCGATTACAACGCGAAGTGTACAACGTCAGCAACCATTTCCACGGGGCAAGGGAGGTCGAGGGGATGAAAAAAAGGAGCGAGAGGAACGTGTTTCAACCTCGGTAGATTGCAATGGGCACGCGCGATCGCTGTCGGCGCTGAATGCGCGCCCTTGCGCTCGCGAGAAAGGAAAATCAGCGGAATAGGACTCGCGTTGTAATGGCCTTTTCACACTGTGTTTTCCGCTGCCGTGTTCCGCCCGGGACGGCGGGTGGAATTCTTGTTCCTAGCATCTAAAAGGCGGGCAATCAGTACTGTAGGATAAATCTGTATTTCCCACCACCAAAAAATCGCTCTCGAAGTTTCCCGCTCTTGGCCCCAGCAGGGGTCTGACCCATACTCTTGACCCTCGCTTACGCACAGAAGATCGGGTCAGCTGAGCGTCACCCAGCTTTTACATACTATTCCCTATACCTCACATTTTAAATTACGGTACTGGTTGCACGTCTTTTAGGTACTTGGAACGCTCGCCGTCCTGGGCAGAATACGGGAGCGGAAAACGCAGTGTGAAAAGGCCATAAGAGGGGGTGAAAAGACGTGCGTGCGTTTCAGGATACATCGGGGGTGCAAGCAAGAGACAGCGCGGCCGATTAGGAGGACCGTGGATGGGGCTGGTTGAATGCTAACGCTATCAAGTGAATTTCGCGTGTTAACGTTCGCAGCTCGATATCAACGGTCGTTCGCGATATCCCGCCTCGCGCGTTGAATAGGAACGCGTAACGTCGTCTGAGTCTGTGATAACAAATTTTCAATTTTTTGTTCCGCTTGATCTCCTCTCGAATTTAGACTCTCGATATCGGTCACGGGAGAAGCGTGACTTGGAGCAATGGGAACACGAATGGGAAATTGCGAAAATTCTTTGCGAATATAATTTACAAATATTTTAAAATGCAACTCGAAAACGAAAGTTGGTGAGTTCTAGTTCTGAATTCTCATTTTGATCATGAGACAGTCGCGCAGCTCACGATGTATTCCTGTTCCCATTGCTCCAAGTTGCGCTTATACCGTCACGTGGCTCGCGTCAATTGAATTTCATAAAAGCCATTTACGTTCGCTGCCTGCTCGTTGACGATGTTCGATCGTCGTTCGCGAATGTTCCTCTCGCATCTCTCCGATCTAATCGTGTATAAATTCTCTTTTTGTTCGAAGGTGACGAAACGGCGTGCGAACGAGTGGGGGAGATCACGACCCGTAGAAGTCGTATGAAACTCTGGACGAAGCGAGGAGCCGCGGGTAACGCGCGGACGAGTGCTGCGGTGCGAAGGGTGAACGAAGCAAGAGAGGGTGGCAATCGACGGATGAGAGTTTGAGTCGTAGAAAAGTGGTTTCTAGAGGCGGGCAGAGACAGGGGGGAGCCGGTGCAAGTTAGCTCGTGGAGGAGGAGAGCAGCTGAGTAGCTTTGGAAGCTGCGCTCGCAAAAAGAAGAAGCTCGGTTTGAACCGGTGGTCGAGGGTGGCGGGTGCCGGTGCGCGCGTGTTCGCCCTCCCTCGCTGTGGAAACGAAAGAGAGAAGGCCGCCGAGGGGTGAAAAAGGACGATCTTGTGCGTCATCGAACGAAGGAAGGACGGGTTTAGAAGTTCTGGTGTGTCGTTGACGTGACTACACAGTGACGTGACGTGACGTGACGTGACATCGAGGCGTCGAGATGCTGCTGGATGAGATGGCCGTCTCCGTTCACACGCGTCTGTCACTTCTTCTCGTCCTGGGTGCCACCCTGTGCCGCGGCAGGATCACCGATCAGGAGATAGGTGAGTACAAAAATACCAACCTACTTTCTTGACTAGCACGAAAGTTCTTTCTCTTCTCGCTTGCTTACCTTCCGCTCCGACATAGTTGGATTCACGTAAATAGGGAAATCTTTTGCGGACGGTTAAGTCAGCGGCAAGTTCTACGTATATTCCATGTATTCTCTTCTTTGATTTTACTCGAACTTCCGGTTTTATTCGTCGAAAATTTATAACCACATAAAAATGCACGTAAACGTTCACAGTCCGTGCAATGCGGAAGCGTACTTTTAAAACCTAGCTCGGCTGTATTTTATTTTCTAATCGATGCATTGTTCTCCATTTTTTCAATGATTGATATACGAACACCACTGCGTACCTTCAAACGCATAAATTCCAGGGAAATTTGAACGTGTTCCTGGTAAAAATCGTCGCAATATACGTTACTCTACTTTTATTTTAAACGACGTCGAGTTCAACGTTAACGGTAACTGCGTCAGGGGGATGTAATATTTCGAATTAACGTTACGTAGAACCTCGCGTAAATCCAATATCGTATCAAATTTCAGTCGCGCTTTCAAATTTATGATAACCGACACGATTTCATATTTCGACTCTGTTTCGTACTGCGTGAAATAGTGATGCAATTATTATTATACTATCATACTCTTATCATGCGGAATGGCTTCTACGCTATATATCTTTATACATGACTGACGATCTTTAGATCTGTACTGTCTCACGTAGTGATAATTAATTCTTGTTAAAGTCTACACATTACTGTCTAGTTTGCAGAATAGGAATTTTCAACCCCTTTAGCAATCTCAAATTGGTTTACATTTACTAGAGTCCATTAAAGAATTCATTTATGGTTTGATAGAAGTCAATAAGTAATCTACAGTAACAAAATAATTACTGTATTATTTTTTTATTCGTTCATCCAAATTGTTTCTCAGGAATATTGATCCTTCGTTGTCCCAGTGAACTGTATTAACCTGCTCAACTACACATAACTTCTATCTTCGTTAATCGTGCCAATAAGCAGTGCGTTGGATAATCTATTCAGTGAACGACTGTAGTTGCATTTATACCTCACGCGCTTCTAGAGTAGATATTAACGAGATCAGAAAAATGAGACAACTCGGTCATCATTATTTTAATTCCTCCGTCTAATAATCTCTCACATCTGTAATCGTGACGCTCAGTTAAAAATGAGTGGTACGCGGATCAACGCCAACCTGTGGCTTTTTCGTGGCCGGGTTTGGCCGCGAGTCTCGGGCAAATAATTAACCGAAAAACCAACTTCGGATCACGTTGTTACACCTCGTATCACGGCCTGGACCTAATTAATTATCGTATGATGCGAGGGGCCGTACACGCGTACGTCCCGCAGCTTCCGGCGTTTCTCGCGTACAATGCGTGTAATTATGCCAACCGATGTGGGGTATAAAATTCGAACGCTCTCCCCGCGAACGTAATCCCAAAGGATTAATTAGCAAGGAAAACGACCGTGTAATACACTTTTATATTTATCCGATTTTCCGCGTCTCTGGCTCTTCTCCCATTGTCAGCTATTAGACGTATTCACCATTCTGCAGTTAAACGAGGTCGTCAGATCATTATCCCCTATTATGATCATATTTTTAACGATGATTTAATGACTCGCGCACAAAGAACGAAATTCAGCGCTCGGTATGAATTAATTCAATCCTACTTCAGCGATTTAACATTGGAAAATGTACTGTGAACTGCGCAAAACGACCGTGTACACAATTGTCCAAAACAACAAAGACGACCGATGGAACAACAAGAGCACCGCAATTACGTAAAACAACTGGCACGGAATCGAAGACAAGCCGTTGGCGGTCGGGAATGAGTGTCGCGCGACTTGAAGGCTACAAAGCGAATCGAATCGAATCGAATCGGCGCCGGCGCGGGAACGGGGGACGGTCGTGTTTGCGGCATGGACGAGGGTGAAATTCGCATGATCAAAGGCGGTTTCCGCGTCTCTCGGGATGGTAGGCCTCGATTCGCGGTTATAACGTTATTTGGCAAACAATCGGTCGTATTCGCGCTGAGTCCGTCGCGCGTGTCCGCGGCGGCGAGATAGAGAGAAGGGAAGGCGAGCGAGGCTGCGGCGGCGGGCCTCGTTAGAACCGCAATGGGTAAACGAGTTAAAAACCCCCACCACCCTCGGCCGCTCATTTTCCCTCCGTTCGCGGAACGCGAACGAAATTACGCGGTCGGTATACTCTGCGGCTTTTGCCGCTAGACGATTCAATTTGTGCATTAGCTGCGACGGCGCACAATGGATCGTTCCATGTAAATAAAGCGGAACGAAAAGAAATTAAACCGACCGCCACCTCGTCTCGCCACACACCCGTAGCCCCGAGCACCTGTCCGCGCGGCCTCGAGGTACAATGCGGGGGAGCGTAGTTTGGCTGTTTCGCACGACGACGCGTTTGTCAGCCCGTTATGACCTTTTTCTGCGTTCATTTATCTCCCCTTTTTACCAGAGTTACACGTATTCCTTTTTTGCTTCTTTATTTCCCTGATAAAGCAACATACCTACGTGTAGAATAAATTAGTTGGACGGCGAGACGTGATGCATGCGCGCGGTTTCATAATTTCACAGATTTCCCAAAGACAATTTCGTAGAATCGCTTAATTAATATGATTTCAGTTCTAACTCTTGTAGGAATTCATCGGCTTTGATATGAATAGGAATTATGAATAGGATAACGTTGGTTTTGCGCAAGGAAACAACGCCTTTAATTTGCAACTTCGTGAAGAATTTATGCGAAGATATTACTCTTGTTCCAGTTATTACACGATATTTCATTTACATGTTTCAAAGTTAAATACCCTTTAGAGCCATTCGAGTATTGTACCAGATTCAGTGCCTGTTCTATTGTTCCAGCTTTCATTGGTTCTGTTTTTTAACTTTTTGTTCTTTAGTACCAAATTTCGTGATACAGTCCACCTACATCCATACGTGAAAAAATTAATCAGCGCACGCGATATTCGTATTTATCTACGCACAATCCGGGGCACTGCGATTAAGGATGTATAGGCTATACATTTAAACAATGCTAGCATGTTGAATTTG